TTGCACAGGAACTATCACAAAGAATCAATAGCTGGGATCTCATCTTTTGCACAGCAAGAGAAACCACCAACAGAGTGAAGGACAACCTACAATGTGGTAGGAAATGTTTGCCAGCTGTTCCTCAGACAAAGGATTATTACTGAGAACATATAAAGAACTCAAAAAAATCAGTCCTCCCAGATTTAAAGACCTAATCCAAAAATGGGCATCTGAGATAAATACACACTTCTCAGATGAAGAAATACAGCAAATAAATATATGAAAAAATGTTCAACATCATTGGTCACTTGGGAGATGCAAATTAAAACAACACTGAGATTCCACCTCACCCCAGAAAGAATGGCTGGTATCAAGAAATCAACCATTAACAAATGCCAGAGGGGAAAAAAGGAACCCTTCTTCACTGCTGGTGGGAGTGTAGACTGGTACAACCACTCTGGAAATCAGTGTGGCGATTCCTCAGAAAAACTAGGACAAGAGGTCCCATTCAACCCAGCTATTCCCTTTCTGGTTATCTTCCCAAAAGAATTAAAAACACCATACCACAGTGATATATGTGTACTTATATTTATAGCAGCATAATTTATAATAGCTAGATCTAGGAAACAACCTAAATGTCCATCAACCAAGGAATGGATAAAAGAGATGTGGTGTTTTTATATGATGGAATACTACTCAGCTATAAAGGAGGATAAACTGCAGACTTTTATAGGTTAATAGATGCAACTTGAGACCATACTCATTAGTGAAATAAACCAGACACACATGTGTAAACATGTTGTCTCACTAGTAAGAGAAGCTGAATGAAACAACATGTATATGTATGTGCATATAAAAAAGATAGTTAAAATAGCTATACTATTGATCTCTGATGTCACTAAAGAGAAAAACTTGTGTTGGTAGTGTTGGGACAAGTGAATGCAGGTGTCTCGTGCTCTAGTGAATGATTTGGGGATGACAATGCACCATGTATGTACCATTGTTGCCCCTTGATTGGCATGTTTTGAAATTTTGTTTTATTTATTTTTCTTTTTTTTTCCTCTTTCTTTGAAATAAAGTATTTTTGGGTCTAGGGATTTAGCTCAGTGGCATAAGTGCTGCCTGGCAAGCATGAGGTCATGAGTTCAATCCCCAGTACTCAAAAAAAAAAAAAAAAAAGTATTTTTGAAAAAAAAAACTGTGCAAGGAAATGTAGCCATCTTTTCCTGAAAAAGAACATGCACACACACACACAGGAACACACACACGTGCACACACAATTTAGGATATTCATGAGACCTAGCTTTCAATTCCTCCAGGTTTGTCATACAGGAGACAGACCTAGCAGAAAAATAACAAGACTGGGCATGGTGGCACATGCCTGTATTCTCAACATGCTAGGAGACTGAGGCAAGAGGACCGAAAGATCAAGCTGACTCTGAGCAATTTAAGAATTTAAGGAGTCTCTGTCTCAAAAAAATAAAAAATAAAGGACTGAGAATGTAGCTTGATGGGAAGGTCCTGGGTTCAATTCCCAGTAACACAATAAACATACAAACAACAGAGGCAGAGGTTTCAAATACAATGCTTTTTCAGTAAAAAAAAAAAAAAAAAGATTAGAAATGAGTAGTTGGTCAGTAGGACAGCCTGTGTCTGAAACTCTTCAAGGAAGAGGCTCATAGGTTCCTGGAGAGGGTGTAAATTTGGACAGATCTCTTAGCCTTCCCTCTGGATGTATAATTGTTGAAACTGACAAACTAGGCAAGAGATCGAATTCACCCTCATTATCTCAGTGTCCAATGGCATAATAGTGCACTTGGGTTCTGAGGAGGCTGTCTCCTGCAGGAACCGAGCAGTAAGTGAAGAGCTCAGGAGGTCAGCATTTTTAGCTGGCCCTCACTTGTCAGTCTGCTCTCCCCCACAGAGTAAGTCAGAATCTGTGGTTGCAAAAGATAGAAAATTTAACTTTGACTTAAGCAAAAAGGGAACTTACTAGCCTATAAACTCAGAACACAGATTTAGTTCTGGAGATGACTGCCTCCAAAGTTGAAAATGAAGTCATTAAGACTTGATCTTTCTCTGGATCCTTTCTTATAGCCAAATCCAGTTTGAAATTTAAACTTTGACCAAACTGGACATGGTGGTGCAAGCCTATGATCCCAGGACTCCTCTGGAAGGATTACTTCAAATTCAAGCCCAGCCTGGACTACATAGCAAAACCCTGTCTCAAAAAAACAAGAAAAAAAGCCGGGCGTGGTGGCTCACACCTGTAATCCCAGCACTTGGAACACTGGGACCGGAAGATTGCTGAGACTCTGAGGCCAGCGTGGATTACATAGTCAATTCAATGCAAGCCTGGTGATCCTGTCTCAAAACTAAATAAACAAACTTTAAAAAGCCTCCTGTCCTGAATCTTTGTTCCATTTTTGTTCCTTTACTCTTTTACTTGTTTTAGTTTTTGGTTTTTTGGCAGTACCAGGGATCAAACTCACGACCTTGTACTTGCCAGGCAGGCACTTGTACCACTGAGCTAAATCCCCAATCCGACCCTTACTTTTCTGGTTACTAACATTTCAGGAAGCAAAGGAAAGGTCCTAGTGGCTTCCCTTTGCCTCTTTCCGCTGGGAGTTTGCCTGGGACAGGGCACTCTGGGCTGGAATGATGGATTCCAAACAAAGGAGGTCACAAAGGAAAGTACCTGGGGCAGAGGTGAGGGAGGGAAATATCTGGCATTTGGTAGGATGGAGTTAACCACCTAGAGAGCTTATGCTGCTAGATTCAATAGTCAGTTAGGAAGCTGCCACCGTCCTGCTGTCCAGGCTGAGGACCTGGGGCACAGCAACAACCCTGATGATAGAGAAAGCAAACAAAACTGAAGGGGCGTAGGGGACAAAGTAGGTGAAAGATCTTGGCTTCAGGGACTGGATGAAAAACGGTTCAAATCACACTTCCACACGGCCACACATGAAAAATAAAATCGCTTTACAGATACTCAACTTAAGAGCGACTTTTCTGAGACAGTCTCACAGCCCAGACCAAGAAGAACCGGCGCAGGACCTAGCATGGTCCTGCGCCGGGCGTGGCAGCAGCCTCCACCTTGGAACTCCACTTCCCAGAATGCCACGGGCTGGGGCAGTTTGACGCAGGCGCAGAACTGGGGAAGAGGCCGAGTCCCTCCAGGTGGGGGTGCTGGAGCTTAATCCTGAGCACCTCGAGTCCAACTGGGGGAGAAAAGGCTCTGGGCACCACGTTTGCGGCCTACTTTGAGATCACTGGAGCATTCAGCCTTCAGCTCTCATCCTGACTCTCCCAGGGAGATAGTGGGATCCGGATCCCCTCCTCTCCAGAGTGAAGCTCCCCTCCTCGAACGAATCATCAGAAGCACAGCAACCCTGAGAACCCCACATCCATCTTCGGTGGTTCTCCGCATCCGGTGTCTGCCCCCAAACCACCCTCCCACGCAGCCCCAGCTTCCTGCCTCTCATTGCAAGCCGGGTGTGGGGAGGCCCGGGCTGGGGTCCTCAGAGGCCCGAGGATCCCAAGGGCATTTGAACTTTTCCGGCAGGGTCTCCCCTTGTAGCTGACACCACCTGGCCAGAATCGAGCACAGGGTTCCCTGCCCCGTGGGTTCTTGGGCACTCTACATAGAAAAAAGAGAAGCTTGGGAGTGAAAAGCCTCAGCTTCCCTTTTCTTTTGCCTCTCAAACTTCAGAGTCTGTCAAGCTGGACCTGCCTCTCCAGAGGCCCAGGTGAAGGAGGCTTAGTTCTCGGGCCCAAAGTCAAGTATATTTTTTCCCTGATGAGCTGAACTGATCTGGTGCTGTCTCCTCTTCCTCTGGCTTGTGGTTCCCTGTGCCGGACGGATATCTGTCGTTCTGTGTTCCTGGCTGATTCTGTGTCATGTTCCTGCTTAAAGTTACTTCACCAATGATCTGCAGGGAGGCCTCAAACTTGTGACAGTCCTCCTACCTCAGCCTATCAACTGCTGGGATCATATGTATGCGTCACCTCACCTGGCTGACCCCATTTTTATCTTATTTGAATACTTCCTAATATTACTGCACACTTACTCTCTTTTAAATGCTTAAAAATAGACACTATTAATATTCTTTCCATCTTACAAATTCAGAAACTCAGGGCTTACTGCTTAAGAATACACAACTATATTAAATATGGTGATGCACACCTATAATCCCACCATTTAGGAGACTGAGGCAGGAGGATCACCTAGAGTTCAAGGCCAGCCTGAGCTACATAGTGAGTTCAAGGTCAGGCTGGAATACATATGAAGACTCTATCTCAACAAAACAGGCAAAAAAAAAAAAAAAAACAAAAAACACCCCCAAACCCAAAAACACATAGCTGTTCCATAAGTGGCAAAGGTAGAATCTGAACTCAGGGGCCTGGCTCCCAACCCTAGTTCTAACCTTGATTCCAACCTGTCTGCTGTATAGTACAGGAGGCTGGGGTATTAGCAAGAGATGGGTAGGTTGTGTAGGAATTAAATGAAAAAGTGGTGACAAAAGTTCGGTGGTCAGAGTTGTAGCTGTCTGTCTTCACTGGACAGTTGAGAGAGACAAGTGGAGCAAAGGACCGACAGTTGGCATAGTATGGGGGGAAGAGAAGGCTGGCAGAGAGCAGACAGGGCCACTGATGGCCACCAAACAGGCATATATATGGGACTCGTGGGGACGGGAGGGGCTGATGGGGCCATCGGAAGAGCTGGGCCAGCAGGTTTATAGGGCCTGGCGGCACAGGTACGGAGGTCTGGGGGAGAGCAGTTTGGGGGCTTGTAAGCCTGCAGACTTGCAGGCAATGGGGTGCCTCTCAGTGCAACCACGGGGAAGTTCCTGCTGCAGCAAGAGTGTTGGGGAGCTGGTCATTTCACCCACGTGTTCAGTGCCTTTTGGCCTCTGTTTCCCACCTGAACACCCCGGAAGTGTTCTGTGCAGATGGCAAAGCTCACACCACCCCTGTGAGACCTGCTGTAGGTCTGCAGTCTTCCAGGTAAAACTCTAAACGCATTTTTAAAAGTTTTATTTGAAAAGTAGGGAACATGACAGAGAGACCAGCATGGAGACTGCATTTTCCTGTCAGGGTCAGAAACCAGGTTTGGGCTGCTCAGGTCTCCAGGTCTTTAAGACCCTTCCAGGCTATGCGCTCCCCAGGAAGATACCCACCCACATCCTCTTGGGCTCCTTACCCCTCCCCACTGGCTGCCCTCTTCCGGTGCTGAAAAGGCACCCAGGTGATGGGCAGGTTCTGAGGGAGAGGGGGAGAAGGATCAGATTAAATTTCAGAAGGAGGAAGTGAGTCCCTGGAGTTTGGGGCTGAGAGGAATAGGTCAAAAAGAAAAGTGGGGATGGGGCCACTACCTTTGCTGTTCCATCCTCTGGAAGCCAGGGGCCTGCCATACCCTGAGACGTTTCCCTCACATCTTGGATAGGAAGCTCTGGGAGGCCATCGCCCCTGACTGGGCCACAGCTTGTTGTCCTTGGGGATGGCTGAGAAACAGGCATACTCCAAACAGAGCACCGGGAGACAGGTTGTGCCAGGCCCTCCTCAGCTGGGCACAGGCTGGCTGTTGGCATAAGCCTGATCTGGGAAGGAGGCCCGGGCTCTGCGGGTCTGGGCACACACGGAGGCGTAGAGCTCCGGCTCCGTGTCTGCAGCCTGCGGTTTTGGGTCAGAGTCCACCACCACTTCAGCGTACTTGATGGGAGTCCCAGGGCTGGGGATGCGGCCCTGAGGGGGCGGCAGCTGCAGGCTGGTGTAGCACATCACCTCCTCTGCAACCTGGAGACGCAAGGCGTGAAAAGTTTAGTGGACCCTCGGAGAAGTCCCTTTCTTCCCCCTTCCTTCCACCGCAGCCAACTCACCCTGGGAGAGCTTCCAGCGGGGGGGTCCTGTTGGCCTGGCTCTTGTGACAACCGGCCTGGAGCAGGGAATTGAAATCAGTCAACTTCTTGTTCCTCTCTGAAACATCCCCACCTCATGCCCCAGGACCTGGCCCCTGTGCCCTCACTTCTGGGACATGGTACCTGTCTGCAGATAGTGTAGGTTCCCGTACAGGGGGATCTCTTCCACAGACCCTCCAGTGCTGCAATGCAGAGTTTGGGGTGAGTATGGTCTTCTTGGAAGAAGGAACCCTCAGTCAACCTATCCCTATTTGCCCCTGCTCACCGTCCACGCCCTGGCTGACTCCTGCTCCGGGCCCTGGTCCACTGGAACAAGAGTGCGGCCAGTAAGATGAGAAGCAGGAGTGTCACAGCTCCTAAGAGAGTCCACAGTCCCCAGGCCTGGGTTAAGGAGGGGAAAGCTGTGGATATGAGAAGAAGGGTGTATTACTACCCAGCCCAACCCCCACCCTGTGCCAGCTGGTAGGATGTGGGGCCACATGACCTCTCCCCCAAGACCCTGCCCCGCCCAGCTCACCCGACGCTGGTGGATCGGTACAGTTGTCACTTTTGCTCATGACTGCTGATGTGAAACCCTGGTTCACAAGCACACTGCACTGAGTTGAGGGTCAGCCCCATTCATGGCCTGACAGTTGCCACAGCCCCCCGTACAACCACCCCTCTCCGGGCCCAGCCCTCACAGCTCAGCATCCCCAATACTGGTGGTGGCAAAGTTGCCGGTTTCCGGGGAGGAAGGGGGAGGGGAGGGATGAGCGAAAGAACGAAGATCCCGCCCTTTGCCTGCACCTGCAGCGCTCAGTGCTTCCCCACCCCCATGCCGGTTCGCAGAGGAGAGACGCAGGCCCGAGTGTCCTGTGTCCTGTGCATGTGGCCCAGCAAAGCCCTGAGGGACAAAAGTGGCATGAGGAGGGACCCACAAAGGCAGGAGCACCCCTCTGTCACAGGATGTCCCCTTTCCCTCCTGCTCTGGGTCCTAGGGAGGATTGTGGATTCCTCAGAGAGCATGCTCTCAGGGGAAATAGTTTGATACCCACCGCACCACTACAGTTTCAGGCTGACCTGCGAGGGAAGACGTTCAGATGATCGTTGTCGTTGTTACCAGTTTTACACTTTGGGGGACAGAGGACACTAGTGTCCCCTTTCTCAACCCATTGCACCCAAACTTTGCCTGAGCAGAGTGGATCTGGGTGCATTAAGGGATCCCCCCCTGGACTGCCCAGCTGGCACCGCACAGTCTGGGCAGGCGTTCAGGGCACTGCCTGCCATTTGCCTGGAGGCGGCACAGCCTAGGGGAGGCTGCTGATATGGGGAAAGGGAATTTAAATTCCTGCTATAAATGGAAGTATAAATTTAAATTACAGTGGCCTGCCAAAGATAGGGATGACAGAAGTCCAGCCCCTCTGGTTCCAGGCAATAAGGAAGTAGACTGTCTATAGAGAGTTTTAAAAATAAAATAAAATTAACTAAAATTAATTTTCTCTCTCCTATCTTTCCCCCTTTTTCTCCCACTGAAGATTTAACCCATGACCTTACAGATGCTAGGCAAGTACCTTGTCATTGAAATATGTCTCTACCCCTTCCCCCCGACCTTCTTTATTTTTTATTTTTTTGAAATAGAGTCTCACTATGTAGTTCAGCCTGGACTTGAACTTGTTATGTAACCCAGGCTGGCCTCGAACTCAAGGCAATTCTCCTGCCTCAGCCTTCCAAGTGCTGGGACTATAGGCAGGCACCACCATGTCCTGCTATAATTTTTTCTTTTTAGATAGGTTCTCACTAAATCACCAAAGCTGGGTTTGAACTCAAAATCCTCCTAGCCTCCCAGAGTGCTGGGATTACAGACACGCAACCAGGACTGGTTTTAAACTTTATTAGCAAACTTTTGCTAATTTGTCCAGACTGGCCTCAAATTTGCAATCGTCCTGCCTCAGACTGTCAAGTAGCTAGATGTGTGTGTCACACACCCAGCCTGAACTCCTCTTTAGTATTATGTTTTATCAGGTCTAAAAAATGTCAGTGACAAAATAGTTTTCCCTTAAAAATCTTCTGTAGATCATAGTTCTAAATTGCTGTGATCCATAAGAATTTTAATGACACAGAAACTCCAAATGAGCATATTTTTACTGTTTATATTTTTAAAACGTTGTAATCTAAATGGAAATTAACCCAGAGAACTTGTAGTTTTGCAAAAAGACCTTAACAAAGCAGATTCATCTACACATATTTATATCTAGAATTAGTTCTTAACTGTTTGAAATTATTCAAGTTTACTTCCAGCACAATGTCTGTTTCCAGCCCCAAAGATAACTGCATTTTTCTGCATTTAACCAGTAGACTTAAAATAAACAATGAGTTGGACAAGATGGCATTTAGGAGGCTGATACTGGAGCCCAAGAGTTTGAGGCCAGCCTAAGCAAGTGGTGAGGACATAGTCTCCAAAGGGAGGTTGGGGAAGGAGAAGGAAGGGAGGAGAGAAACGAAGAGAAAAAAAGGGGAAAAAAGCTTTTAAAAACAATGAGGGACCAGGAACATACCTATAATTGTACCCACTCAGAGGCTGAGATAGGGGTATCACCACAAGTTCAAGGCCAGCCTGGGCTACATTGTGAGTTCAAGGCCAGCCTGAATTACAAAGTGAGACCCTGTCTCAAAAACAAAATAAAACAATGAGAGACTGAGGGTGAGACTCATGGCAGAGCATGTAGTTTGGCATGCTTAGGATCCTAGATTCACATACCTTAGCACAGCAAAGGGTGGGTGCTTAGAACCCTAGATTCACATACCAGAACACAGCAAAGGGTGGGGGCCTGAGGGTCTAGCCGAAAGGTAGAGCCAGAGACACTGTGTTCCAGCCCTAGCATCAATAAATAAATGACATAAACCACTATTGTAAGTGACTGTTATATAATTCCATCATTCTGTATGTTAGGGAGTTTTTATTTACATTTAAGTTTTCTGAAATTGATTGTGAACTATTACCTTTCTGAATCACTGCCAAACTTATCCTTAATGCCTTACAACTTTTTCTATTAGTATACCTGCTTCTTCATATAAAACCAACTTTTTGAAATAAAATTTTATAAAGAGGTCTTTAGTCAACAAACCTGGTTATATTTCTGTTGGCTATGAAATGTAAAGATTATTTTTAGGGGCTGGGGATTTAGCTCAGCGGCATAAGCGCCTGCCTTACAAGCAGGCAGTCATGAGTTCAATCCCTGGTACCGATAAAAAGGAAAAAGATTACTTTTGATAAGCTTGCCAAAGTTAAGAATAAAAGAAAACTTGCTGAGCGTGGTGGCATACACTTGTAATCCCAGAACTCAGAAGGCTGAGGCAGGAGGATCGAATTGAGTTCCAGGCCAGCCTGAGCTACAGTGAGTTCAAGGCCAACCTGCAGTGAGATCCTTTCTCCCCACCCCACCCCCAAAATAGGGCTGACATTCATCAGTCAGACAGAATATATGCTCCTTTTCTAAAACAAACAAACAAAAAAAAAAGCAATGTAGTGAAGAAGTATTAATCTATTGTTATTTCCTTTCTTGTTCTGCAATGTTTAGTTCATTTAAAATTAATGATCTGTCTCTAACATTGACATGACTATGTCTACAGGGGAAGGGTTCAATGATTTAAAATATTCACTGTCTTGAGTTTTCTTTCCTGGCTCCTATTACTGTATTTCATTGTAATCTCAAATATTGAGAACAGTCATCTGTATTGTAATCCCTTTTCCAATTTGCCTCACAGTCAAAAAGTTATATTTGTAGTCCCATTGAGACATTTTTGGAATCCCAGCAAATTAATTCCAATCTAGCACCACCAATCCAACCCACAGTGAGAGTAAAGTCACCAAGACATATTCAAGGTTAAGGGCAGCTAAGGGGTCCTAAATCCAATCTCCATGAGGACAGAGGCCCTGATCCAAGGCCTCTTCCAGAATTTATTATCTTGTGAAGAAGAGTGACAGTGAGGATGGCGGGAATTATGTTAGTAACTTGAGCTGGCTGGCCAGGTAGTGACAAAAACATCTTTGCAAAACCCAAGGATAGGGGATTTAGCTCAGTGACATAAGTGCCTGCCTTGCAAGTGTGTGGTCATTGAGTTCCATCCACGGTACTGATAAAAAAGAAAAAGACAAAACAAAACAAAACAAACAAACAAACAAAAAACAGGGATAGCAATATGCAGAAGGATCAATCTGCATAATTCAATTAAAATAACAACTGAATTGTTTTTGGAAGCTGTTGCTTTAGTTTCTGATATGTAAACTTCTGAGCCCTGGGGAGTCACAGCCTCTTTACCTTGAGGCTCATACCCAGTTGACATTCCTGGAGCTGACTGGCTCTAACGTCCCACTGTGCTCATATCTTTTACAGAGAGCACCATGTGAGGAAACAGGAGACTGTCCAATGGCTTTAGAGATTACACACAGGTACCTCACTAGCCTTATTTGCAATGCTTAGAGCCAATTGAAGAGAGAAGGAAATTCCATAGCCAGCTCTGTACATATCAATATAAGGAAATAAGTCTCCATATAATCAAGTTGAAGCAATTGTTCTGCATTCAAGGGGAGTCACTCAAATTGTCTCCTCCAATATTTCATGATTATTCCTAAAAATAATTTTATGAAATATACCAAGTATACTCCCTATTCCTTATCAATTGAAAAACTGAGAGATTTCCAATATTTATTTATTTTGACACAGGGTCTTGCCTAGTAATTCAAGGCGGCCTAGAACTCCCTATGTAACCCAGGCTGGCCTTGAACTTGCCGTGATCCTCCTACCTCAGCCTCCCAAGGGCTGGGATTGCAAGCATGCGCCATCCTACCTGGAAATATTTCTAAGTTTTAAAATCTCAACTGAGTTCATCTCCAAATAAAACAATTCTTGGTGAAAAAAATCAGGTCAAGCAGTAGTGGGCTTGAGTTTTCTAAAGGCAGCAGTCAGCTGGGAGCCACATATCTCGTTATAATTGGACTGAACCCCTTATTTACATCAACTATGCCAGTTAGCCTGGGACTCCAGGTTTGGTCTACCTGCGCGCCACACCGCCACCTGTGACCTATCAATTTCCCTGGGTCTGAGTCTCACCTGGCCCTGTCCTTTCTCCTCCGTTTCTGGAAAAACAAGATGAGGTACTTCATACAGCTATTGCCTGTTGATAGAAATGTGGATGGAACATATTTCTGTCCTTACACAGCAAAGCGACCCTGCGTGTCCTAGAAAAAAAAAAATGACGACATGAAGTGGGGGGAGCAGCTTTCTACCTAACTGGGTCGCACACACGGAGAAAGAAGAGCGGCGAAACAGATGATATGGAGAGTCCCAGCCCATTCACCTTTCCAGACAGCATCTCAGGAAATCGCTAAACTGCTCAGGCTAGGCTTGAACTTGCGATCCTCCTACTTCAGCCGCTATTGTTTAAAAGAGCCTAACTATAGCTATCCTTTTGGGTCGTCGTGAGCTTTATTTTAATTTTTTATTTATCGAGTGCCTCCTAGAGCCGTGTCCTGCGCTAGGCTCTGGAATTACAGCAGGAAATAGTGACGTGGCTCCTTCCCCCATGGACAGAATAGCCCGGCGGTAATAAAGTAAAATAGTTACAAAATGAATTAGAAGTTAAGGATCTGAATGAAGGGAACACTTCAACTCAGCGCTGAAGGTTGTGTAAAAGTCAAGTGTGCAACAAGGAAATTGAAATGGGACATCCCAGAGAGAGTTAATGTAATTTCCACTGCCTGGTTCTTAGCGTAGCTGTTCAGGTTCAAATCATTACTAGGCAAAAAAAACAAAAACAAAAACAAAAACAAAAACAAAAAAAAACATTTTAGGGGCTGGGGATTTAGCTCAGCGGCACAAGTGCCTGCCTTGCAAGCAGTTGTGAGTTCAATCCCCGGTACCGATAAAAAGGAAAAAGACAAAAAAAAAAAATCATTACCAGGAACAATAGTAAACATTCTACTAAGATCACCTCATTTAATCATAACAATCTTAAATGCATGAGTATCATCATTTCAATTTTTCAGGCCTCGCGCGCGGAGAAGCTAATTTATCTGGAGTAAAATAAAACACAAAAACAGGGTCGGGGCGGTTAAGCAAAACGCAGCCGCGCTGAGAATGAGCCCCGTTTGGTTGGTGCGCACCCATGTGCGCACTGCCTGCGTCACTATGACAGCTGACGGATGACGTCCCGCAACACGCCGCTCAGCATTCCCGTTCCAAAGAGCGGGTTTGCTTCTTGGCGGGCTAAGTGTGAAGGGCGGGGAGGGTCTACGTGCGTGAGCACGTGGCACTTTCTGCCCAAGGTCCGGGGACTTTCCCCTAGGCAACTAGATGAGGAACAAGTCCCCCGAGTGTAGCCTAGGAAACAGGCCTTCAGCGCGATCTCTTGCTGAGCTGGCGTACCCTCAACACTTTTATACCACTAATAGAGATTTCATCTTACACCTAGAGTGAAAAAGTTAGTATCATGAAAACTAAAGATACGTAGCCTCTTAAAATAAATATTTAAAGACTTAGAAGTTTTCGGAGGTATTCTGGCTAAAAGAATGCCTAAATAGATTTAAAAATAAACTAATTTAGGAAAGCTAAATGAACGCGCCCTCATGCAAATATATATGGCCCCGCCCTACTGGGAAATGGGCGTGGCGTCCCACGGAAACCCAGAGCGGGACCTGCGCCAGTGGCGTGTGCGCCTGCGCACTGGTACGCGAAGACAAAGCTGCAACGACTAGGAGTCGTTCGCTGCCTGTGAGCCAGCAATGGCGTGTGCGGTTGTGCTGTCGCTTGGGCTGGGGCTGCTGCTTGTGTCTGCGCCACTCGAGGTTCTCGGAGAGTGCCCCAGCTGCCAACTCCGAGCACACTCAGGTACCGGGAAGGGCTGCTGGAGGGAGGCTGGGGCTGCCTGGGCGGAGTCTTCGCTGTGCTGACGGCTGTCCGCCCCTCCCTCTGCAGGGCACCGCGCCCAGGTCGGCCCTGGGGCCACCGAACCCTGGCGGCGACTGGCGCCCAAGGAGCAGCGTGAGCGGGCCCGGGCGCTACCGTGGGGGGCGCTGTACACTGCAGGCGTCGTGGCCTTTGTGCTATACAAGTGTTTGCAGGTGCGGGACGGCCGTGAGTGGGATGCCCCTGGTCCGAATCCCCCACGGGGGCGCCACGGTTCCGCTTGCCGACTGTCTAAAACATACGGTAGTACCTTGGCTTCCCCACAGTTTGTTTTTGTTTTTTCCTCTGGTAGTATTGGGGGTAGAGCTACGTCCCTAGTCCATCTTTATTTTTACTTTTTACAACTGAGTCTCGCTACTTTGCTGAATTGCCCAGGCTGCCCTATTATTATGAGGACCCAGAGATACAGTAATGACTAGAAGAGCGCCTGATAGATAAATAGTGACCCTCACATTTAATCTTCCGAGTCCAGTGAAGAGCGATTCTTTGCTGGAGTCACCCACTTAGTAACTAGTGGAGCTACGATTTCAACCCAACTAGTGTCTAAACTACTTAAGTGGGTTCCCAGCGAGGTTCCAAAGTTAGCACAAGTGGTTGATCGCTCAGTGTCAGAATTCAGACCACCAAGCAGTCCCAGGCTCTCCGTGGGAAGAAGCCTGAAATGTGAGCTGACACATTTCGGTGGATTGAAACTGTTGAAATGGAAAACAGTACCCCCTGGGGCTGTATCTTCAGTCCTGATCCTGTCACTTACTTGCTTTAGAAATAAGAGGGTTGATGAGGGAGATGATATGAAATTAGAAGAAATAGCTAAAAGTGATCCCCAGTAGACATGATAGGCGAAGATGAGTCTGATTTAGTTATTTACTTTTTTATTTGAGACAGGGTCTCATTAGGCAGCCTCGAATTTGTGGCAGTCACCCTGCCTCAGCCTCCCAAGTGCTAGGATCACAGAGGTGTGCCACCATGCCCAGCATGAGTCTGATTTTAATGATGCAAGTTTCACAAGGATAAATTAAACTCAGTTCTTGAATCCAAGTATTGGGCAGGAAGAAACAACTCACTTAGCAGCTGTGAAAAATAAAGACATTCCATCTGACTACTGCTTAAATTCATTGTGATGTGACAACTTCCCAAATCAGTGTTCAAACCAGGTGTGGTGGCACACACCTATCATCCTAACACTTGGGAGACTGAGGCAGGAGGATTGCAAATTGGAGACCAGCCTATCTACAAAATGAGCTCAAAGCCAGGCTGAACTGCATAGTGAGACTATGTCTCAAAGAAAAAAAAAAAAAAAAACCCACAAATCACTGCCCAGAACAAAGTATTGTGCTTCATCTACTGACCAAAACTCTGGAGGAATTTTATTCTCATTAGGGTAGTGCATTTATGTGCTCAGTAAAACAGCTAGAGAAAAATGTGAATTGAGCCCTAACAGAAAAGATTGAAGATTTTATACCACAAAAGACTGGAGAAGGGTTAGGTGTGTAACGTGGTGGTAGAGCACTTGCTTAGTAGGCAGGAGGCCCGGGGATCCCCATTGTACATGCACACACACACCCACATAGCACAGAAAGAGAATGACGGTTATCTTCAAACTCCTGAACAGTATCATGTTGATGAGACCGACATTATATGAAAAGTGCTAATCTCTAATCAGCATCATGGAACGATAAATGAACAAATTGTGGCTTTATATGTGAACTATTTGACAATCAGTTTTATCAAGCTGGAAGAATTACTCATTCCAGCAGTGTTTCAGCACTGAGCACATGCGGGGCATATTGCTATGTTGTGTGAAGACCTGGACTGGAAATGATTGTGATTCTTTGAGCTAAAGACTCAACACTTCCTCTCCCGCAAACTCTGCTTCCCTCTTTATTGGCTTTGGAGACAGATGTTTGGGGAGAACCTTGTGGCTACAGTACTGCCCTTTTCTTCCTTTACAACAGGGCAAAGATGAGGTTGCAGATCTCCAAGAGAAAGGCAAGAAGGAACCACTGCAGTCAGGTGAGTTGAACTGTCTGTGCCTGGTGGGGAAAGATCAGTGATGCCACAGTGTAAGTAACCATTGCCTCTCCCCGTTGCCCTTTCTCCAGACCAGCAGCTGGCCCAGCTGATACAACAGCTGGCTCAGACTGAGCAGCACCTGAACAACCTGATGGCCCAGCTGGACCCCCTTTTCGAGCAGTGAGAATTTGTGGGGAAGTTTGTGGTAGGTGGGAAGCATGGGACAGACTGGGTAGGCCCTGAGTGAGTATTTCCGCAGTGTGACTGCTCTGGTTGGAACCCAGCGGGACCTTTTGGATAAGAAACTACAGACCGTTCACCAGCTTCTCCAAGACCACAAACCAGAAAAGGGTGTGGAAGCTCCAGAGTCAGGTAAAGAGTTGGGAGTCAAGTCTGGTGAGGGGAAGATAAAATCCTAGAAATTACAGCATGCTGATCTTGCCCCTCACAGAGGCCAGCATACCCTTTCCTGAAGATTTTCAAATAGAGGAGGAGGAAGAAGAGGCTGGTGACAGCGTGGCCTGGAAGGAGCCTGTAAACTGGAGCACGGAGACTTGGAACCTAGCTACTTCCTGGCAAGTGGAACAAGAACTAAGGAGAAGATGCAGCAAGCCTGTGACAGAGGGTCTCAGGCACAGCCCCATCCAAGAAGGAAAGACAGCCCCTGATGGTCTAGTAAAACCAAGTTTATTCTTGTGAGTGGATGCTCCTGTGTTCTTTTTCCTTGCAGCTGACCATACAGACAGCCATACTAGGTGATTAAGGACAGCCAGGCCTCCTTGAGAAGCTTTCCTTATTAGGACAAAGAGGCTGCCTTCCCGGGTGAAAGCAGAGCAGACAGAGGGAGCTCCAGTTCTTTTCCTTGTATTACTGAGGCCAGCAGCCTTCACAACCCAGAAATGCCTTTTCTCATAGCTCAGACAGAAAGATTATTTTATTAAAATCCAGGGGAAAATAAATTACACCACCACATAAAAATAGTCACATTTTCAAAATTGCAGTCTTCATAAACAGCTGGCCATAGATAGCATGAGCTTATCAGTCCCAAAGCTCCTATGTTGGAGAGGCTGGTTCAGCTTATGTTCAGTTGGATCACAATTGATTTCCTAATTCTTTCTTTTGTTTTTTTGGGGGTGTTACTATGTAGTGCTGGTTAGCTTTGAACTCCCTTATGTAGCCCAGGCTGGCCTTGAACTCAGTGATCCTCTTGTCTCAGCCTCTCGATTACTAGGATTAAAGGTGTGTGCCATCACACCTGGCTGATTTCCTAATTCTTAAGAGTTGGTGTGATGACTCAGAGAAGCTTGGCAAACAAAAATGATCTTCTGAAACTAGGAAAGGTCATGAGAAATTCTCACTTTGTTCGAAGACCCATTTGTACTCTTGGCTCTGACCTATCCCTGAAGTGTCCTGAATTTTGGAATTTGTAGCTTCTTTTAGTTCTTCTGGCTGCTGTGGAGAGAAAACAGTTCAGGCATTAACAAAAGCACTCATCAGATACAGTTACCTACAGGGTGGGGGAAGGTTGCAGGCAGATGCAGGAATGAGCTAGTATTGGACTTGCTAGTTTCCAGTCCTGGGACTTGCACAGCACCAATTCTTGGAAAAGACACAACTTACCTGATAGCCAGAGCCAGACTCTGGTACCAGTGGGACAGCTCCTTCTGGTCTGTGGACATAAGCAGTAGCTTCTCATTGGGGAAGGACAGCTAGAGAGAGACCATGTTTTAGTGCCTGGCTTAGAAAATTCCAAGCTGAAGCCCTCACTGTTACCATTCTGGTAATTCAGGGAGGAGATGGGAACTCAGCTGTGTATCCTCTCATTCCCATCAAGTGGGACTCAGGCCAGCTGATAAACAGGCCCATAAGCATTTGAGATCTGTTTTGTACCTAATGTTCCCACCTATTACTTACACTGAGCAGTCCGCCACAAGGACCTCCTGAGTGGCCAAAGACCCTGCAGAGTTGACACTGAGCCATGGGGTACAGGGCCCTGCAGGCAAAGGTGCCACTCTTCAGCAGGTGCAGGGCGGGTCGGGGCTTGGCCATGAGAAGCACATCAGAGAAGAGGAAAAACATGCGTGGCCGGGGCTCCCCTGTGGGAGGCACCACCAACAACCAGCCCTGGTGCAGGAACCAGCGTCCTGTGAATGGGAGGACTGTTACCACGGGAACAGAGGGAAAACTGAGGAAATGGGGTATGTGCTGACTATATAGAGGAAGAGGTAAGCGGTGGGCAGGATTGAGGGGGAAACACGTGGTCAACCTGAGGTGAGCCCCTTTGCCTGGCGTCCACTGAGCAAAGCCTGGATACGCCGTAGGTGCTGGTCATTCTTCTGTTCCTGGCCAATGGTGTGGACTCTCTGGGCAGTCTCACTTATCAGCCGAGCAGCCCCTGGAATAAGATCCTCCACATCACTCCCAATACAACTTTGATTCTGGGTGACTGACAATAGAAGAGGCTATTCTGGAGGGTATCTGGGCTGGGGCCTCATTTCTTGGAGAAAAGGCAAACAAGGATGCTACACATACTAACGGAAGGTAGAGACATACCAAACACCGGGAGGGCAAAACCAGAAAGGGGTGCTGGAGGGGAGCAAGGACCTACGTGTGAGCTGTTGGTGGTCAGGGCTGTTGGGAACTGTGTTTTCAGCCAAAGCAACGACGAGATTCTCATACCTGGAATTGAACAACAGGATGTCTTCAAGAGAGAGGCAGAGCAAAACTCTGCCACTGCTTGACAAGATCATTCCACTCACATCCTTCACTTGCAGGCCCAGGAAAGATCTTCTGGACATTGTGTTCCCTTCCAGCTGGGACTCAGAGCCTGAGCTCACACTGAAAAGTCAATGGCAGACTGACCATAGTTCAGATCAGGTCAGAAGATGGTCAATTAAACCAGAAGTTAATTCTAGTTGGGTATGGCAGTGCATGATTGTAATCCCAGCTCTTGGGAGGCTGAGGCAGGATGATTGCTGAGAGTTTAAGACCAGACTAAGCTATACAGAGAGTTCAAGGCCAGCCTCAACTACATAGCAAGACCCCGTCTCAAAAAAAAAAAAATTGTTCATTGGCCCCTTTCTCCAAATTCCTCGTTCCTCACCCCTAGTGCAGGCTCTCACTGCAATGTGGAGTTCCACAGTCCCCTGCCTGAGACTGCTGACCCTGAGTATTCCTTCGGATTCAGTTACTCAGGTAATTTGGCCCAGGAGAGTGGGACAAACACTGTGTTTTCTCACAAGCTGAGGGCTGCAGACTCCAGGTTGGTGTAAAGCAAGGAATTTCACTCACTGCTGGAGCCGTTGCAGAGGCAGAGGCAGCAGGTCCTGTAGCTGAAGGCCTCCAAACTGTGGGCGGCCTTCCTGCAGTCTCACAAATTTCCGAAAACGTTTGTTTTTCTTCAGCTGCTCCTAGAGTGAGGGGAAAGAGTTTTGGCAGCAGAGAGAGAAGCCACTATTAAGTGATGTGCTCCTGAGAGAAACCTGGCCTCCCTACTGGAAGCTTAGCCAGTGCTAGGCACCCAGAGGGTTCTGGAAAAGCAGGAATTGAATGAGTGAATATTAAGGGGCAAGCAAGGGAAAAGGGATGGGTTTGAGATCATCTCCAGGTTACCTGTAGGGTGGTCTGGGACCTCTCTGCATTGGCAGCGAATTGGACATAGAGCTCCAGGTGGGTGCAGAAGCCTTCCAGGCCCCGTCCCCAGTGTCCTCCTTCCAGGTAGGGAAGCAGCTCTCTGTGTGGGCAAGAACAGTGACAGGGTAGCCCAAGGACTACTAGAGCACACCCTCATTTAAATCTTATAGCCCTGCCTCGAGGCAGTGCTACTGTTTCATTTTGCACATGGTGAGATGGGCAGATAAAGGCATTGGGCGAAGCTGACAGGTGACAGAAAATCGGCACTATGAACCTGTGATTCTGGGCTTGTGCCAGAGGCAAAGCCCTCCCTCTTCTCCCTGTGTCCTCTCCACTCACTGGCTGGCGCCATAAATGAGCTCCCAGCACCCAAACAGAGACTGGCGCTCTGGAGGTCGCAGGGTCCCCTTGGCTTTCAGGATCCCCAAGAAGTACTGTGGAAGGAGAGAACACAGGGATCTGAGTCTGGAGAAAAAACGCCAAAGCCACAAAGTGTAGCTCGGCCCGAGCTCCCTACGTGCGGAGACCGTTTAAGATCCACCACACTCGAGGTCATAGATCTCGGAGGCCCTCCAACCCTCGGGCTGCCGCCCCCGGCGAGAGGCCCGCACCGTAGCCACCAGCTCCAGTTGTTCCAGGTAGCGCCGCTCGGTCTCCAGCAGCTCCCGGGCGGTGCACGCTCGTTTCCGCTCCCACCGAGCTCGCTGCTCCAGCAGCGGGCACCGCGAACCTGGGCCGGGGCTCGCCATTGCCTGACGAGCGCCTGGCCGTTTCCGGCTCCAGCCCGCCGGAGATTCAAATCCCAACCGCTCCCGGGGCGGAGCAGCCCGGCCACCGCCTGGAGCAGAACGCAGGACGGAGCATGCGCACGGCCCCCGGCCCCACCCAGTCTCCCCTTCGCAGGCGCCGCCCCACAGCGGGGGCGGAGCTGTGGACACGGCCGGTGGGGTTGGGTGGGGCTGCAGTCTTACTTGCCTTGGAGCTGCACTAAGCTGGGGAGCACCCAGGGATGGGGAGGTATGTTGGCAGAGCCCTAGTGCCCTATCTGAAGACGTGGGAGTGGGGCGATAATTAGGGTACATATTCTGTCCTGACACAGGGTTGTCATTCCCAATACTTTCAAAACTTAGGAACCTTCTGGGCACTGGAGTATAGTTTTCAGCTACTATTCATTTCATACTGATGTGAAACTTGACAGCCAGCTGGCTTCTAGCAGGAATTGGTAACTAACATGGCACTTTAGATCTGCTGTAATTCTAGTCAAAAGCAAAAGCTTTAAGTTGATTGGACTGTGCAACCTTGTCAAAAATACAGTATACTGGAGTTTTGTTTTTTAAACTTAGGCCTTTTGAAAAATTGGAATTAGAGCTGGAAGGTAAATTGGTAATGCCATTTTGTTAGTGTGTGTCAGAAATCTTCCAATGTTCCTACATCTTAGACCTAGCAGTTCTAAGAATGCATCTTGAATGGTTATATGGAGAAATAGATGTAGCAAGATATCTGGCACAGTGTCATTTATAACGACAGAACATTGGAAAGCATCAAAATGTCTATCTAGTGCTAAGGAACTGGCCAGCAAAACTATGCACAGGCACTTGAAGAAACAACATAAAGATGTAAAAATAATGTAAACAAACAAGAAAAAAAAAAAAAAAGATCAAGCCAGGTGTGGTGGCACCCTCCTGAAATCCCAGTACTCTGAGAGATTGAGGCAGGAGAACCACAAATGAGAGCGCAGCCTGGATAACTTAGCAAGACCCTGTCTCAAAAAAGTGGGCTGGAGGCATCGATCACTGTGAAGGCTGGGGGTCCAATCTCCAGTAACACCCCACCACCAGCAACAAAAGCTATTGATATGGAAAACGGGTATTACTGAGAGAAAAACAAGCTACAAAGCTGCATGTATAATATGATCACCTTTGTAGAAAAATACATGAAAGGTTGGAAGACTAAACAATGGAAAGCAAATTGTGGTTTTCATCTGTGATGAGACTGAAGATAACTGAACAAGTGTGTAGTCAGGACCTGATCTGTGCTGAGCAGTGAATCACTGTGGAAAGGTGTTATACTAAGATGCTGAAAAATTAAAATAATTGATTAAAAGATAATTAGCAAAAATAGTTAAAAAGATAGTTATTAGCAGTATTGTCATTCTGTACTGAGCTCCTTACCCTAGTAACCAAGCACCAACCACATAGTTATAGATTAACTAACGGAGTCGTTATGCTGTTCTGTACAAGTCGCCCCCCCAAGTAACCTGTGTGCTATGTCAACCTTTGTTCCCCTTGTAAGAGACAAATGATGCTGTGTCAACCATTGTTCCCTTTATGAGAGACAAATGTTTCTGGAACTGGCAGACCAAGGGCTATGAATTGGCTAACCACCCACTGTGAATTGCCTCTGACCTCAAGCAAGGGGGAACAAAGGCCCACCTTGTTTCTGTTTCTCATCATCACTATGTACTTAATGATCAATGAGCTAATCATGAACTATAAAAATCAGTCAAAATTCTAACTCAGTTGCACAGCTTTGCAAATTCCAACTGCACTGTGTCACTGGGCCAGCTAAAATAAAAGCGCTTCTTTTAAAAAAGACGTCTTGCTCCGTTTATCATCTTGGGGATCTTGCCCCTTTTTTCACGATGGGCCTTCTTTTTGGGTGGGTTACAACAAAAGATACGAATAAACAGGGTAACTTTTTAAATTCCCTCAAACTTGTCTTCACTGCCTCTAAGAATTCTGCATTAAGCATGCATTGTTTTGTAATTAGGAAATCTATTTTACAGTAAGAAATAAAATGTAAGGGAGGAAACTTTAGACCCTGTCTTGAGCATTTACGACTCTTAGGAATCTGGGCTCCAAGCCAAGAACCAAGGGATTGTCAGGGTTCTAAGCCCCCCTCTAGCTCTGACATTCTAAGAATTCTGAGAATGGAAAAGGCTGGCTTGCACCAGGGCGGAAAAATGAGAGTTTGGACAGACTTGTCTTAGGTTAAAATCCCAAGAGCACTGGTGACACCAGATGGGGGAGGATTGGTTAATACTGTCTCAAAACATGAGAAACAGTCTAATAGCTCAAGTAAGAAGAAAGATAGTCCCATAGTAATCAGTATCGCTGTGAACCCCGGGGAAAGAGAGGAAAGCACAAAGCCTGGGGCAGCACTGATGATGGGTGTGTGTAGTTACGGAGCCGGTGTGTGAGTGGCAGCGAGTGGGAACTACAGCTCAGGTAGTGGGATGGGGGTGGGAGCTTGGGACTGCCCAACTCTGGAGGAAGAACAGGGCAATGCTGAGAAGATCCATCTGAGAACATTCTGTGCATAAAGACATCCTGCTTCTCCATTTCAGTTCTGCAGCACTGTTAATGGACTAAGTGATATTATCCCCGTAAGACACGGCCATGTCTCCATCCAAACCCCTAGAGCCTGCCAATGGTGGGGAAGGGTATTTACAGAGATAATGAAGGATCTTGATATGAGATCTTAGATTATCTCAGTGGGCCTTAAATCCAATGACAAATGTCTATAAGAGATACTCCATGGAGCCGGGATGGTGGCACACACCTGTAATCCCAGCACTCAGAGGACTGATGTAATAGGATTGCCACAACTACATAGCAAAACCCTGTTTTAAAAACAAAACAAAAGACGGGCGTGGTGGCTCATGCCTGTAATCCCAGCCTTTGGGAGCTGAGGCAGGAGGATCATTGCAAATTCAAGACCAGCTGGAGCAACAAAGTGAGTTTAAGGCTAGCCTGAACTGCATTGTGAGAATTTATCTCAAAAAAAGAAAAGGCCTGGGGATGTGGCTCAGTGGTAGAGCTCTTGCCTTCCATGTACAAGGCCCTGAGTTTGATCCCCAGCACCACAAAAGGAAAAAGAAAGAAAAAAGAAAGACACCCCATGAAGACATACAGGGACAAGAAGGAAATCCCATGTGAAGGAGGCAGACATTACAGCCATACAGCCACAAGCGAAGGAGCCACCAGACTCTGGAAGAAGCAAGGAAAGAGTTTTCTTCCCTATAATGGAGTGTGGCCCTACCCACAGCTAGATCTCAGACTTCCGGTTTCTGTAACTGTGAGAAAGTATATTTCTGTTGTTTGTGTTTTGAGACAGTCTCACTATGTAGCTCAGGTTGGATTTGAACTCGGGAGATCCTCCTGCCTCCTCTCCCAAGTGCTGGGATTACAGACTTGCACCATCACACATGGCCCTATTTCTGTTGTTTTAAGACACTTTGTGGTAAAACCAGGATCAAACCCATGACCTCTTGCTTGCCAGGCAGGTGCTTGTGCCCCTGAGCTAAATCCCCACCCTTGTAATTTGTTATGGCAGCCCTGGGGAAATTCTGATGCTGGTGGTGCAGCAGCCTACTGCAAGTCCGCCTGGGGGTGGGGACAGGGGAGCCCAGGAGGACTCCAATCTGTCTTTCTTCCCAGCCAATGACTGCAGAGAAGAGGGTGTGTCTCCTCCTACCCCACCAATGAACAGCTCCCTTCTCTGCAGCCCTGGGCTAGTCAGAAACATGGGTTAGAAACCTGTTCCTCAGTGGCTGAAGACAAGACCCTCATGACTAGAGGCAGTGGGGCTGGGGATGTAGCTCAGCGACATAAGCGCCAGCCTTGCAAACAGGTAGTCGTGAGTTCGATCCCTGGTACCAATAAAAAGGAAAAAGACAAAAAAAAAAAAAAAAAAAAAAAAGAAAGACAGAAAAACAATGACTAGAGGCTGCCTTACACAGCCAGAGAAGCCCTGTGCAAGGTGGCACACTCACTCACGTTTCGTGGCCACGACTTGCTGGACATGAAACTATAGAGTTTAATGTCTTGTGATGCCAGGTTTTGGTCTCAGTTTGGTCCCACAATTTCTTTTTCTTTCTTTTTAATTTATTCTTTTTAATTTTATTTTAGAGAAAAAAGCTTCAAAACAGGCTAATAGAATAATAATAATAAATACATTGTATATTGTTATCTTCATTGAGTTCTATCTCCTTATTGGAATGGAAATATTTACCCTTTGCCATAGTATGTTGGAAGTGTTTCACTTTCTTTAGATTTTTACAGGGGCTCATGGCTAAGAGTTTTCTGTGAATCTGAGATGTGGGACTTGGACTTTTGAGTAATGCTGAAACTGTTGGGCCTTTGATGAACATAGATAGACTAACAGCAATTTGCATAAAGTCTTTTGGTGGCAAGAGGCAGAATGTTATGGTTTCTATCTAGATGTTCTCTTAACCCTGCAATCACAGCTGGGAGCTTTGGAGGATGGCTGGATTATAGGGGCATTATAACTGACTTGCTGTTAGGAGGTAGGACCTGCCCAGCAGAGGTGGTCGCTGCGGGTGTGACCCAGCAGGTTATCTGTCCCTTCTGGGCTCTTCCCTGGACTCTTTCTGCTTCCTGCCCACCTTGCTGTGAGCAGCTCTCCTTTCCCACTCTGTCTGGCCTTGTAGCAGGTGCATATGCCGGAAACTTGAGCCAAAACAAACCTCTCCTTTAAATTGTGGCTTTGGGTGTTGGGCCTCAACGATGGAGAAAGTGACTAACACACACTTCGTCTTGCACAGGCCCATCCAAAGCAGGTATTATCATGTGCCCTCCATGCGTCAGAGTCCAAGCAAGGTGCTGACCGACAGCACAGCTGACCGCCCAGAGTACACGCTGACCCAGGCACAGTATCACACCACAGTAATCCTGGCACTTGGGAGGCTGAATTAAGAGAATGGCAGGGGGTTTGAGGCCAGCCTGGGTTATACAGAGTTCAAGGCCATCGTGAGGTACAGAGCAAGACCCAGTCTCAAACAAACAAAAATAAACCAGAGAGTTGCTGGATCTAACTAGCAAGGGGGAATTTGGATTAAGAAAGGCAACGTAATAAATAACTCTCATGTGTAAATACCGTATTGTCTCTCTAGTGTAAGAAACTGAATTATACATGTTCCAAAATCTACAATGAATATTGTATAAGGGTAAGAAACTGTTCAGAGAGGAAAAGTAATTAGAATAAGGGAAATGAGGAAAGAAGGAAAGGAAAAAGACAAATTTTTTGTATATATATATATATGGTAGCTAAACTGACTATACTACTAATTGTCTTAGATACTGGAAAAGAACAGTTAATACTCATAGGTTTAGATCAATCTTACATGTCTCTATTTGTTAATCTAAGCAACTCTCCTGAAGGTAACAATAAGCAATATTACAATCATTGTGAAATTCCTATTATCTTGTCTTGTAAACCTATACTGTTATTGTATTTAGTTTCTCCTTTTGTGTTTGTCTGTATTGCTTGTTTTTCTTTTCTGTGTCTTTTTAATCTTAAATTTTAAAAAAAGGCAACCTAGAGTCACGTGCATGTGTGTGTGTATGTGTGTGTGTGTGTGCACTTTGCTGAGGACTGAATCTGGAGACTGGTGCACACTTGTGCATGCTGAGCAATGCTGCACCACTGACTACATCCCCACCAAAGAGACAATTTTGAATCTTTAACTGATTACCTCTTTTTTTTTTTTTTAACTAATTACCTCTTAATCTGACCACTTAGAGAACACCTGTGATTCAACCATACAAATTTTGTTCTATGATATGACAGTCACTCACACAAGGCAGGTAATTCAGAATGGCATAAAAACTTGATGTCACACTAGGTATGGTGACACATGCCTATAATCCTAGCACTCTGGGAGGCTGAGGCAAAAGGACTGCAAGTGTGAGTCCAGCCTGGGCTACTCAGTGACTTGTGAGAGAGCCTCTCTATAAGAAAACAAAACAAAACAGGGGTGGGGGCTATGTAGTGATGTCATGCCCCTAGGACAGTTGCAGTTCGACACCAGGTCACTGGTAGGAGCTCCCTGGGGCCAGAAAGCCCATCTTAGTCCATTCTGTTTTTCTTAAGCACCTGTGATCTGCATAGGGAAAACGAGCTATAATAGCTGCTGAATGAAAGACTGATTCAACTAAATACTGAATCAGTTAAAGATTCAAAATTGCCTCTTCGGGTGGGGATGTTGTCAGTGGTGGACCCTGCCCTGATGGAGCTCAAGACTATTAGGGCAGATACACATGTCATAAATCACCCTAATATGAGTTAGATGGTGGAGTTTATGATCAAGGGCAATCAAAGAACAGTGGTAGTTCAAATACACCACCATAGATCTCTCTCAACTGGTGTAGAAGATGCCCTAAGAAAGCCTTTCTAAAACTGGGTGTTGGGGCACACACCTACAATCCCAGCACTGGGGAGGCTGAGGCAGGAGGGCATTCTTGAGTTCAAGGTCAGCCTGGACTACACAGTTAGTTCAAGGCCAGTCTAAACTACACAGTGAGACTCCGTCTCAAAAAACTAAAAAAAAAAAAAGTCTTTCTAAAAGAGATGGCCTATAGGCTGGGGATTTAGCTCAGTGGCAAATGTGCCTGCCTGGCAAGTGCAAGGTCATGAATTTGATTACTGGTACCAAAAAAAAAAAAAAGTGCTGATCAAGAACAAGGCCTTTGAGGCTGGGGATTTAGCTCAGCGGCATAAGCATCTGCCTTGCAAGCAGGCAGTCGTGAGCTCGATTCCTGGTACGGATAAAAAGGAAAAAGACAAAAAAAAAAAGAACAAGGTCTTGAGTTCAATCCCTGGTACAAAAAGAAAAAAGCCTGTGAGCTAAGTCTGAAGACTAGAAGGGGAAAACAAAAGGCACTTACACAAAGGAGAAAGTGAAACTATTTAACACCATAGTGGGTACACAAGCCCTGATCCATCACAGTGGTGCTGGCTGAGGCACTCAGGTGGGGTCCTGGGCCCCTTCAGTTGCGGGTATTTAGATGGAAGGATCACTGGGGAGAGTGGGGACAGACGGGCACCGTGAAGCTAGAAGTTGTGGCCGTATGCCAAGCAGTACAAGTAGTTCAGGACAGCAGCACAGTCACACTGCCGGTGCCTACTCGAAGTCCTTCAGTACAGACAGGAAATGGCCTCATTCTCCTGAGGCCTGTCAAAGCCATAGGGGCCTGTTTAGAATGTGAGCTAGAGAACAGTAGAGTTCTCCGTTCCACACTGCACCCCCAGGGCCTAGAGCACTATCCGGAGGGTTGGAGGAAGCTCAGCTAAATGTTACTTCCCTGGGCAGACTGGGACCTCCCGCCCGTTCTGGGCATCTCACTCTTCTCCCTCATCTCCTCTAATCCTCCCTGCCAATCCATGCTCTTCTTAGTCCTAAATATGAGTGGATATGAAAACCAGACTCTGTACTCCTGCTCAAAATATTTGCTATTTTTCTTTCCCAGAATACCATTCTCATTGTTTTTACCATTGGACCATTGTTTTTACTTTGTCTTCAAAGTTCTGATCAAGGGCCAGGGATTTAGCTCAGTGGCACAAACGCCTGTCTGGCAAGTGCAAGGTCATGAATTTGATTACTGGTACCAAAAAAAAAAAAAAAAAGTGCTGATCAAATTTGGCTAATTCTGTAATAATGAGTCAAAATTAATCTCGCTCCGCAAACATTTTTTTTTAATTTTAAGCAAAGTACAGCAGAATAAAGCCAATCAAAACAAAACAATGAAAGCAATACAGGACTTTAAAACAAGGTAATCAGAAATCAACAATGGCTACCATAATGCCTTTTGTTATCTGCACAATAACTGCCTATTCCTAAACACACTATGATACCACTTGCCTTCACTCAGTGGACCAAAACCTCCTTAGGACAAGATCTGGCTTATTCATATCCATCCACTAGTCTCAGCCTGACATACAATAGGTTCTAAACACATAGTGAATGCAAAAAAGGATGGTATTTCAAGCAATGAAAACTAGATTAGCAAAGATGATGAAAAGCTTGGAGAAAAGAATGGCTTGTGATTAAGGGTGTAGCTAGGTGGGAGAGCACTTACCTAGAATGTATAAGGCTCTGGGTTTGATCCCAACACCACCAACCCCTCGCCCCCCAAAAAAAGTTTACAAAAAGGAATGGTTTAGCTGATGTGGTGCTACAGACCTGTAATCTCAGCACTCAGGAGGCTGAGGCAGGAGGATCACTGTGCGTTCAAGGCCAGCCTGGAATACATAGAGATCCTTTCTGAAAAAAATGAAAAAGAAAAGGAAATTTGTTTAGATCACAGTATGGAGGAGAATAGGAGGAGACAAAATGAAAAGGTCTCTCAGATAAAGTTTTATTGCCTTTTTTTTTTCCCTTTAGACAAGGCCAGGGTCTCCTCAAACTTGGAATCTTCCCACCTCAGCCTTCCAAGTCCTGGAATTATACCGGCTTTTGGGGACTTGGAAATGAAAAGGGAAAAAATGGACAAATTTTGGCAAGCAGTAATTTGGGTAAGAAGAGGTTTTTTGTGTGTTTTTCTTAATTATTTTTTCAGCAAAAGTTTTTGAACAGGGAGTCAGAGGGTGAAAAATACATAAATTGAGTTTAAAACCATCAGTCTCTCTGATACAGACGCTTGGTCTTCTGTTCATGCTCAGTGTGCCTCCTCCTCCTCGCCTATCCATCACGCACTCACCTGCAGGCCCCCGCAGCAGCTCGCCCCTTCCTTTACCTGCTCCTCGGCTGAGCAAGGGGAAAGCACAGGGGCTGCTCGCTCTGCTCTGCCGACGACACAGGGTCCCAGCTCTGTCTTTCCTGTCCTTTGCCTGGGACTGGGACACAGGTCAGAGTTTGCCGAAGCTGGCTGGCAAGCAGCTGGGTGGTGCCAGGGAGGGCCTATGCAGTGCCAGGTGGTACCGTGGGTGCCACGCTGAGCCTGTAACCCTGATAACCTGCTGCCTGCGCATACACCTGCCCCGCGCTCCACCCCTACCCAGGCCTTGATATGGGGAGGGGGCACAGGGCCAGGCAGACCAGTGGGACTTTGGTTCCACCGCTACAAAAGGGCATTCTGTGAGTCAGGCAGCTCCCCTCAAGGCTTGCTCCTCCCCTGCCCTGCTCCTGTTTCCAATGCGGTGCTGCACGTACAGCCCGTGCACACCGTGTCTTGGGACTGCCTAGTCAGCCGCATGGCTTCCCTGTGCTCCAGCCCCGGGCTCCCTCTGTTGATTTCAGCCCCTACTGTGCAGCTGCTGCTTTTCCTGCTGCTCTTGGCGCCTTCCCATCCTCAGAGCCTGACCTGGATGCAGGGGGATCCCTCCGTGGAAGGAGACTCATCTGGAGAAAATGACCCTCTGCGTGAGGAGGAGCTTCCCAGTGAAGAGGATCCACCTGACATTCATCCTAAGCCAAGAGAGGAGGAGGACTCCCTGAGGTCAGAAGATCTATCCACTGTCAAGTCTCCGGAGGACACTCAAGGACACCAGAGTAGTGGCCACAAGGACAAAAAAGGCAAGTGGTCACCATTCCCCAACTAGGCTCCAGAAGTCCACGCCTGCCTCCACTTCTCACACCCTTGTGCGGGAAGTGGTCGGTCCTTCAGGGAAGGAGCATGCACAGTATTCTAACAGTGGCCCCTCCAGGTGCCCCAGGCCATTAGAATCTTCCCGCCTTTCACACACAGGAGACAGACGCCAGGAGGGAAGGGGCGGGGGGGGGGGTGGGGGACAAGTAGAAGAACTGGGAAAGGGGCAGGGAGGAGACAAGAGAAGAATACTGTGGATGGAAAGAGCGAGAGGGAGAAAGAGGACATGGGAGAGAAAAAAGAGCGTAAAAGGAAAAGGCTGGGGAGGAGCGCGGCTACTAGAGGACGGGCAGCGAACGCCTGTGGAGGTCGCCTCATCTTCGTCTGCGGCAAGGAGAGTGAGACAAGGAGGAAGGGGTCACCGGCGGATGGCCCTGGGATCCTGACTTCCAAGCCAAGAACTCTGGGAAAGAAGGTGGACACTAGAAAGACAGGGAGATGAGTGGGGACAGGAAAGCCGTCCGCGGATTTTGCAGACTGAGGCACCCACTCGCTCCCCAGAGCCTGGGCAGTCGGCTGCACACCGCAGGTCCGGGGCCAGCAGCGCCGTGCGCCCCGCTGTGGGGTTCTGCGGGTTGCCGTCCGCCGTGCTTTGCACCTGGCCTGCTCCAGGCATTTCCGTCGCCGGTTGTGCCCCAGTAAAACAGGAGTTTGCGAGACTCCGTGTGAGAGGGGATCTCTGGACCCCTCTCTCACGCGCGCGTCCCTGGAGAGAGCCTGGGCTCTAAGACTGATCTCTGGTCGGGCGTGGTGGCTCACGCCTGTAATCCCAGCACTCGGGAGGTTGAGGCAGGAGGATCGTTGCGAGTTCGAGACCAGCCTGGGCTACAAAGTGAGCTCAAGGCCAGCCTGAACTGCATAGCGAGACACTGTCTCAAAAAAAGACAACAACAAAAAAAAAAAAAAAAAAAAAAAAAAGACTGACCTGGTCATCTTTCGCACGCAGGGGATGGTCACGATCATTGGCGCTACGGAGGTAAGACACCCCGCCCTGGACAGACCCAACTCGGCCCGCACGGTCCCAGCTCTGCTACTGGGCGCTCCCGCCCCCGCCCACCCTGGTTTCCAGTTCCCGCTCGAAGCCTCCTGACTCCACCCCTCGTTTGTCTGTTTTTTTTTTTTTTAATGTGGGTTTGCTAAAAGCTCCAGACCTTATTAGGCTTGTTCACCACACCCCCTCATCTAGGCAGCCCGTCCTGGCCCCAGGTGTCCCCTGCCTGCGCCGGCCGCTTCCAGTCCCCCGTAGACATTCGCCCCGAGCTCACCGCCTTCCGCCAGGCCCTGGGGCCGGTCCAGCTCCTGGGCTTTGAACTTCAGCCTCGCCCGGAGCTGCGCCTGCGCAATAATGGTCACACTGGTGAGGGGGCCTGGGCTCAGAGCTTGTGCCCAGAGCCTAGACTGTCTGGGGAGGGGCGGCCGCGGTGGTGCCAGGGGCAGAGGTGGGCACGCAGGGTGGCGCGCGGACTGCTAATGAGCCGCTCCCCACGTAGTGCAGCTGAGTCTGCCACCCGGGCTAGAGATGGCTCTGGGTCCCGGCCGGGAGTACCGAGCTCAGCAGTTGCATCTGCACTGGGGCACTTCGGATCGCCCGGGCTCAGAGCACACTGTTGACGGCCACCGTTTTCCAGCGGAGGTGAGCTCCCAGTGCTCCGGGCAGGGCCACAGGGGTGTAGCCAGAGATAAAGCCGCACGCTGACCCATGCATCCTCTCCAGATCCACGTGGTTCACCTCAACACAGCGTTCTCCAAAGTTGAGGCAGCCTTGGGACGCCCAGGAGGCCTTGCTGTGTTGGCTGCCTTTCTGCAGGTATCAGACCTGAACACTCCATTCCCTGCTTCCCCAGGGATTCGGTGTAACCTCGTCTTCATCCATTCACTAGTTCATTCAACACTCACAGCGAGCCAGACACTGGACCACAGAAGGGGTTCTGAGGCACTCACAGCCAGTACAGGAAGCTGGCATGATAGATAGAAGGATGCAGTGAAAATGGTGGTCTCAGAGGAAGAGAGACTTGCAGTCTTCACTAGTGGGAAAAAAAAACATTCTATCCAAAGAGAACAGAATGCACAAGGACTCAGAACAGGGCTCATCCGGAGAATAGCAGTGCCAGAAACTGGACATCAGGAGGAGTAACTTCTCAATTGCTCCTGTGACCCAGTGTTTCTCCTTGAGTTGCAGTGGTCAGTGATCTCTTTGGACCTGAACGGATCAAGGCCAGTAAATGAATGGATTAGGTACTTGCTAAGCTCATTCAATAATGCCAAGCTCATAGCAAAAGTTCAGAGAAGTACCTCAGAAATATGTCAGGACTCAGCTCCAGAGTCAAACCCATGTGCTGGCTGAGGAGGCAGGAGGATCACTGTAGGTTTGAGGCCAGCCTGGACTACAAAGTGAGTTCAAAGCCAGCCTGCACTGTGTAGTGAAACCCTATTTCAAAAACAAAAACACAGGGGCTGGGGATTTAGCTCAGTGGCTGAAGTGCTTGGCTGGTAAGTTCAAGAGTTCAATTCTTGGTTAAAAAAACAAAACAAACAAACAAACAAACAAAAAACCCAAAGACAAAAACATGAGTTTAAATGCAGAAGCAACATAAAAACATATAGTATACTATGGGTTTTTGTGGGGGCACCATAGTATCAATGATCAAGACTATAAAAGTTAAAAGAATCAGATCATTGAGGGCCTAGTATCGAGTAAAGTAGTTCCTTCCTCCTCCTCTTCTCCTTTCCCTAGTTTGCCATCAAAAATCAGTCTACTAAGCTTGTTAGTTTACAGAGTAACAAAGGTAACAGACTCTGAGCAACAAAGTTTATGTTCCTCCAGCATCTTCAGAGGTGACTGTGGGACATCCACGCCACATTCCGGCCTCCAGCCACAGGCAGCAGTCTGTCTTGCACTGTCACCTCTCTTTCCCCCTTCCCAGGAGGGCCCAGAAGAAAACAGTGCTTATGAGCAGTTGCTGTCACGGCTGGACGAGATCACAGAGGAAGGTCAGTTTGTCCATCTGGCCACTGTCTTCTGTACCAGTGGTGGTGAACCTATGGCACGTGTGTGATTTTCTTTTAAGACAAAAGATGTTAATGTAGAGTTGTTTTTTTCAAAATTAAAAGCTCAGTATGCAGGTTTAATTGTAGTGTTAGCACTTTGCAATTAATAAGTGGGTTTTGTTTTTTGTTTTGTTTTGGGAACCAGGAATCAAACTCAGGACCTCCTGCTTACTGGCCAGGCACTGTGCCAATAAGTGGGCTTTGGGTTGCAGTTTGGCACTTAATCTCTACATTTTGCCATCATGGTTCTATGCCCTAGTGCCTAAAGACTTGCCCTCAAGAGCCTCAGATCTCAAGGTGGAGGTGGAAGTGGGCGGAGCTGTCAATAGTCCCTGATTTTGATAATAACTGAAATGGACTACAGGCTAACAGGCACCAGCTCACCACTGCCTACAGCCTTGATGGTTCAAAACTAAAGAGAAACCAAAGTCACAGCACTTCACACACACACACACACACACACACACACACACACACCCCACACACACCACACACACACACCACACACACACACACACACACACCACACACACACACCACACACACCCCACACACACACCACACACACACACACACCACACACACAGAACCAAAAAGTGTGCTTGGACCTTCTGGCACTGGGTGTGTCAAGCCCAGTGTTTTCTGAGAATTATTTCTTATTCATAAATATCAGTATTTTAAATTGACAAATACTTTTTTGTTGGAAATCTTTCCCATCTTAATTGCTCTGGGTCTTTTGTTTTGTTTTGTTTTTCCCTTTTTGTGACCTCACTTTGTAGTGCAGGCTGGCCTTGAACTTACTATGTAGCTCAGGCTGGCCTCAAATTCTCTGTGCTGGGGCTGGGGATTTAGCTCAGCAGCATAAGCGCCTGCCTCGAAAGCAGGCAGTCGTGAGTTCGATCCCTGGTACCAGTAAAAACGAAAAAGCCAAAAAAAAAAAAAAAAAAAAAAAAATTCTCTGTGCTCTTCCTGCCTTGGCCTTCTGAAAACTAAGATTATAGGTGTGTGCCACCATACCTGGTACTCTTGGTCATTTTAAACCTTATGCTATTTAGGGTTTTTTTTTTGCTAAACCAAAGGGAACTCTGCCTTTGGATTTTTTTTTTTTTTTTCCTGTCTTTTTGAGGCAGGGTTTCACTATATAGTTCTGGCTGACCTTGAACTCACTTTGTAGCCCAGGCTGGCCTTGAACTTCAGAGACTTTCCTTCCTCTGCCTCTGGAGTGCTGGGATTACAGGTGTGTGCTGCCACACCTGGCTCTTGCCTTTGGAATTTTTTTTATAGTTACAAATATTAAATGTATTTGTAAGTTTCTTTTTTTTTTTTTTTTTTTCGTTTTTATTGGTACCAGGGATCAAACTCACAACTGCCTACTTGCAAGGCAGGCGCTTATGCCGCTGAGCTAAATCCCCAGCCCCAATGTATTTGTAAGTTATTCAACTGTTTTTTAAAAAAAATTTTTTTTTGAGACAAGGTTTCACTACACATCTCAGGCTGGCTTCAGACTCACTTTATAGCCCACGCTGGCCATAAGCTCACAGCCATCTTTCTGCCTTAGCCTCCCAAATGCTGGGGCCACAGGCATGTGCACCACAGCCAGCCTTCAACCCATTTTTCTTCCCCTACCACTTGCTGGAATGAAACCCAGGACCTCAAGCCTTGCTAGGCAAGTATTCTACCATTGAACTGAATATTCCTAACCCCAGTTTTCCTTGTTAACGAATTCTGGGCTTAACTCAGTGGCCCAGCACACTGTGATGCTGTGTAAAAAGAGTGAAGACTCAGAGAGAGGATTTAAAGGATGCTTTCCTCACTCTGAGGTCTCCCCCAAGTCCAGATCACTTCCTTTGGAGCTGCATCTTCCACAGTAAGGGGAAGGGACCACACTGTGTGAAGGAGTGTTCACAGACAGTTAAACCAGCTCTGGGAGGCAAAAACTGAATCTCTATACTCCATACTCAGAGCTTCCAGAAAAAGCAGTCTTGCTGGGCTCACAGGTCCTTTCCACAGGCTCAGAGACTTGGATCCCAGGACTGGATGTATCTGCCCTACTGCCCTCTGATCTCAGCCGCTACTTTCAATATGAGGGATCCCTGACCACCCCCCCATGTACACAGGGGGTCATCTGGACTGTGTTCAACCAGACAGTGAAGTTAAGTGCTAGGCAGGTAAGGCTGGGCCAGGGTGTCAACCTGGCGGGTGTAGGGGTAGGACATCTGGGATGAGTTAAGATCACCTAGAATTCATGGAAGGGGTGAGGGAGGTGGAAGCAAAGCCCTGAGATGCTAGTTGTGGCCCTTTGGTTCCCTTTTAAGCCATGAGCCCACCTGTACTCACCTGTTGCTATTCCTAGATCCACACCCTCTCTAGCTCCCTGTGGGGCCCTGGCGATTCCCGGCTGCAGTTGAATTTCCGAGCCACACAGCCTCTGAACGGAAGAATGATTGAAGCCTCCTTCCCTGCTGAAGTGCCCAGCAGCCCTGAGCCAGGTGCAGCTCTCTCTGGAGTCCTAGATTGCTTTGTCCCCGCTCCCCACAGGCCCCTCCTCTTTGCATATTTATTTTTTGCCACTGGTGATCCCAGTCCTTGGCTCTAATGTCTTCTTTTTCTCTTCAGTCCACATGAGCTCCTGCTTAGCCACTGGTGAGTCTGTCCCTGATGTCAGACACCCTCAGCATCACTCCGCCCCCAGGACTGATTAGCACCCTTTTTCTATAGAACTCAGTGGTCCCCAATGTGATAGTTAATCAGAATGAAGCTCCAGAAACCTAGCATCCCCTCCCCAAGTAACCCTTTATCTAGCCATGAGGAAGGAAAGTGGTATCTTAGTCCCCATGTCACCCCTTGGGCTGGCCTCTTCCGGAAACTGAAACCCTGGGGCTCCTGAGAACTCAGGGCAAGGCTGGGTACCCAGACTTGAGGGGACCTGTGGGACACTCCCTGAGGCCACCCCTTTCCTCCCAGGGGACATCTTGGCCCTAGTTTTTGGCCTTCTCTTTGCTGCCACCAGCGTTGCCTTCCTGGTGCAGATGCGGCAGCAGCACAGGTAATGTACTGACCCTCTCCCTCCAGAGCCCCACCCACCTGCTTTGTGAAGTCCTGGCTTCGTGCAAATTATAAGCAAGGTCACCCCGGCCAGTTTTCTGACTCCAGTTCCTTATTGTATAAACACAGAAGTGCGACCCAAAAAGGTGTTAGCTACAGCCCAGCAGAGATGGCGGAGACTGGAGCCTAGAGACTCAGAACTCGCATGTGCAGAGAAACCACCCAGTGGAATCTGAGGGACACACAATCACACAGTTCCTTTTAAACCTTCAGTTTTTCCATCATTTTTGTTCTTTTAAACCACTCCAATAGGACCTTGTATTGCAAAAGCAAGTTTCAACTGAACTCCCAGATTTTCTTTTTTTTTGGTCTTTTTGCTTTTTATCGGTACTGGGGATCGAACTCACGGCTGCCTCTTGCAAGGCAGGTGCTTATGCCGCTGAGGTAAATCCCCAGCCCCCAGATTTTTTTTTTTAAACATTCTAAACAAGGTGTGGTGGTGTGTGCCAGTAACCCCAGCACCCTCAGGCTGAGCGAGGCAAGAGGATCGAAAGTTTGAGCCTTGCCCAGGCAATTTAGAAAGAACCTATCTTGAATTTTGTTTTTTAAAGTATTTTTAGACCCGGAGATTTAGCTCAGCTGCACAGCACTTGCCCCGCAAATGTGAGGCTGAGTTTGATATCCAGTACAAAAAAAATTTTTTTTTAATTTTAAAGAATTAGGAGATTGCTCAGTGCAAAGGCCATGGGTTTAATCTCCAGTGCCTAAATAAATAATTCTAGTAAAATATGTGTAAGTCACCTTTGTTTCTCAAATCAGGACTGGTTACATTTTAACTGGAACTCTAATATCCCTTTTGCAACTGTAACAAGTCACTGCTCAGTAGTAATGCAAATACACCCGCAGTGCTGGTTGAGCTGAAGGGCTGTCAGTGGGCTGGTCAGGACTCTCGAGGCAGAGCACTTCCTTGCCTTTTTCAGATCTCAGAAGCTACCTGCACCCCTGGAGGTCCCTTTCTCACCACTGCAGTCTTGCCTCCGTTTACCCCTCTCACCTTTGACCTTCCGGCCTCCTACTTGTAAGGACCCTTGGGACTACATGGGCCTGCCAGCAGCCTAGGATAATCTCCCCACCTCAGGTCCTTTGCAGTCAGAGACAAACAGGATTAGAATGTGGACATTTACAGAGGACAGGTATTATTCTGCTCACCACAGCTTTCCAGGAGGCGGCGGTGTGGCAGGTACTGTTACAGTGACTGTGTATGTGGTGTGGTGTTGGGAAGGCTACAGATGCTAGATTTAAAATCACACTGAGGCTCTGACCCTGTTAGAGGGAAATCTGTCTCTGCCTGCACTTTTGCCTTTAGCATGTAATGCTGGGCCCCTCTGCCTGCTGAATAGGGCAGTGCTGCAGATGGCAGCTCCGCTGCCTTGCAGACTAAAAGCCAGAACATTCCCCAGCCCATTCAAGCTTCTCTGCTTCACGTTGCCTCTTCAAACTCACCATCACTAAGCCTGGTGGGGTTCACTGAGAGTCCCATCTCAGAAGGGGTCCTTCCAATTCCACTGGCAACCAAAGAAAGGCTTAAAGGGCCCCCGGATGTAACATCAGCTTTATTGTGTTGGGGCAGCAACTATACCCCGGCTGGGGGCAGTCAGGCAGCCCTCACAGGTTGTTGAGCTCCAGCAGAGTCTGGTCCAGGGTCTGGTGAATCTCCACATTCTCCTCCTTGGCACTGGCCAAGGTCTCTGTGAGGGAAGCAGCAGGTGAGGCGGGGAGGGGACACAGGAAAAAGCAGCAAGGGAGGGGCACGGGAACGAGGGACTCAGGGAAGACACAAGAAGGCATGGACAGGGGACAGCAACATGGAAACAGCATGGGCCAGGAGGGACACAGGCCTCAGGAGACAGCACGGGCAGTAACAAAGGGACAGATGGACCAGGACAGAGATGGATGGTTCGTTAAGGCCTTGGGGGTCACGTGTGGGGGGTGGGGAGGCCTACACCATAAAGCAATTTATCCTCCTTCTCTAGAAGGGTTAGGAAAGTTGGAAAAGGAAGGAAAGACAAAAAGCTGAGCCAGAAAAGGTGAAGGCCGGACAGAACGGAGGCAGAAGACAGACCTGCAGGGGCAGGAGAGGCCCTGCTGCTGACATCCAGCGCTTTCCCAAGCTTCCTTCTGCTCCTTCTCGACACCCCTGCCCCTCCCTTGTGCTTTGTCATCCTGTTTCCCTTCCAGTCTTTGTTACACACCAGACCCCCAGCTAGGTCCTCCAGGGTCAGTGACCAGAGCGCTCAACAGGGTCACGCATGCCCACATGCAGCAGTGAGTCAGACAGCGACAGACTGGCAGTGCCATGCAGAGGGGTCTTGGTGGGGGCCAGCATGTCGGGGGTGGCTTGGTGTGGGGGGGCATCAGGAAGAGCCAAGGTCTCGGGAGTGAACCAGTGCAATGCGGCAGGGAGGAAGTGTTCTCTTGGGGGGCAGGAAAACAGCATGGAGACCGAGTTCAGAGTTTATTAAGCAGCAGAGAGTGGAGAGGGCAGCAGGTGGAAGGGGCAGTGGGTGGAGAAAGATGAAGCCAGTGCCGGGGTGGGTGGTGGGAGTGACAGCGGCTCTCCCTAGGCTGAGCCAGCCTGGCTGGGCAGTGCCGCCAGGTCTCGCCCTCCTGCCTGCCCCTTTCCCAGAGAATGGAAAGAGGAAGAGATAAGAGGCGGCCACACTGGTGCGGGCTCAGAGGGAGGTGATGTCGTTGAGTGCGTTGTCCAGCTCCTCACTGATAGCCTTGTACTTCATCTTCTGTGCATAGACCTCATCTGGAGTGGCCGAGGGGGAGCGAGGTGGGGGTGTGGGGAGAGGGATTGCGGGGAAAAGGAGAGGAAAGAGGGATGGTGATGAAAGAAAAAAGAATCAGAGCAAGGTAGACTGCGTGAGGAAAGTCAGAGAACAGGCCAGACAGCTGCCATGACTCCCTTCTTCCCTTTTTCTTCCCCTGTCTCTTTTGTCTTTCTCTGTACAACTTTTCCCCCCTCAGAGTATCTGCTTCTCCCAGAATCCTGTGGGCACCGTGCTCCAGACAGGCTCCAGGGGAAGGGAGGCTAACTTGACCAGAAAGGTCTAAAGTCCAAAAGTGAAGATAAATTTAGTGCTTGACAGAAGGCCAGAAGCAAGAGATGTAGGAATCCTAAGCATTAAAGTGCTATGGAAAAGGCGGAAAGAAAAGGCGACCTTAGGTACAACAACACTGCTGATAACACCGAGGACCACAGAGAGCAAATATCTGCATGTTTGTTTCCCCCAAATGTAGCTTGGTGGAAAATGTTATCGTCTATTAACGTAGTCACACAGTAGCAGACAGTAAATAGAGTAACTATTCAATAAAGAAGTTTCGGGGCTGGGGGTTTAGCTCAGCGGCATAAGCACCTGCCTTGCAAGCCGGCGGTCGTGAGTTTGATCCCCAGTACCAATAAAAAAAAAAAAAAAAAGTTTCTGTGATGATTCTGTTGTGTTGCACTGGGAGAAAGCTTCTGTTAAGTCAGTGCTATACCAAGCACTGATCTGAAGGCCAGCATCATCAGCATTGGCAGGGAGCTGGGTAGAACAGATTTATTACCCCAAGTCAGTTATTATGCTGGGTAGAGCCCAGGAAGTTGGGACTTTTTTTAAAACTCAGAGTCTCTTGTTCTCTACCAATGAGCTCTACCCTTCCCCAAGAGCCTGTTCTTATAACTCAGGTGATTCTCCTGTGTTCTGAGGTCTGAGATGCACTGGAGTTGATGGACAGCCACCAGAGCTTGTGGAGTTCGGGGTGCACCGACTCCAGTTTACCAGTGGCAGATTCTGTGGGGTGTGAAGATGTGACAGGGGCACACTTTTTACCTTCCAGGTCATCAATGGTTTTCTCCAACTTTGCTACGGATCTTTCAGCAAACTCTGCTCGAGTCTCAGCCTGGGAATAAAAATGGGTTGGGAGACATAACAAGGAATCAGGGCCACCCAGAGAGCCTCAGTGAAGTCACCTGACCCCCACAATTCCCAGCCACAGTCTGGTGGGAACAAGGGTGGCTTGAGGGCAGCCTGGGAACTGGAAGAGAGCTCTCACCTCCTTCAGCTTCTCCTCTAGCAGTTTGATCTCCTCTTCGTATTTGTCCTCTTTGGTGGAATACTTTTAGGGACATACACAGACCATCAGTAAATCCCTTGCCTGAATCCTCCACTTCTCCACTGAGACCCTCGACCCCTGCTGACCTTGCCTCCTCCGTGGATCGCCCAGCCCTCCCTGCCTGGCCCTCACCTCCCTCCCCTGTAGGACCCCGTCCTCACTGCCCTTCTACCCCCGCTACCTTGTCTGCTTGGGCCTCCAGGGATTTCAAGTTGTTGGTAACAATTTTCAGCTCCTCCTCTAGGTCCCCACATTTACTGCAGGGGTGTGTGGCAGGGTGGGTGTGAGGACACAGTGAGGAGAGAGAGTGGGGATGGTACAGTGGGGAGGGCGGAGGAGAGAAGAGAAGAGCAAAGTGATAAGCGTGACAGCAGGCAGAGGTCAAAAGCCCCAGGCCCTCCCCGACCCTGGCAGGAGACAGAGAGCAGCCTGAGATGCTGAAACTGAGGGGGAGGTGAGCTGAGAAAAGGCACCGTGGCCCAGAAAGGTGCGGAGAGGTGACTACCTCCTCCTCTGAGGCCATCAGGGACTTGAGGGCCTGGTCCATGGTTCGAAGTTCCTCCTCCAGCTGCCTGGCTCGGCTGGGGGCAGCAGGCAGAGGTCAGATGACAGGACCTGTCCCTGTAGCCATGGGCCTTGGAAACTGCCTTCCCTCATGCAAGCCACCCCAGAGGACCCTTACCTCTCGGCTACCTCAGCTCTCTCTTCTGAGCGCTCCAGCTCTCCCTCTAGAATCACCAGCTTCCTGGCCACCTGGAAGGAAGCGGGAGAGAGGACATCAGTGGTGACTGAGGGTGTGAGGCTTGGGAGCAGGAAGGAAGTGAGACAGGGCCGTTACCTCCTCATATTTGCGGTCTGAGTCCTCAGCAATGTGCTTGGCCTCCTTCAGCTGCATCTCTTGTAGCTCCATCTTCTCCTCATCCTTCATGGCCCTGTTCTCAATCACCTTCATTCCTCTGACAGGCAGAAAGAGGGACAAGTATGAGAGGTCACCACAGCAAAGCCAAGCTCCTGCTCCCACCCTGCCTACCCCTTGCCCTGGCCCCCTGCCCACCTCTCGCTCTCATCAGCTGCCTTCTCGGCCTCCTCCAGCTTTTGCAGGGCCGTAGCAAGGCGTTCCTGGGCACGGTCCAGCTCTTCCTCTACCAGCTGAATGCGGCGGTTCAGGGAGGCTACATCGGCCTCAGCCTATGGGCCAGAGGTCAGAGGTCAGAAAGACTTTGTCTGGCTTGAATGAGAAGGGGCTTCAGAGTATGGCTAAGATTCTTCTAAGAAACTAGGTGTCCTGGTTTTTAATATTCAATGTTTTTTCTTTCAACTGACCATTTTCTGCTTAGATTCTGTGCTCTAGCCAAGCACATGCACTTCTTCACAAGCTCCGCTTCCCTGGTGCCACACCCTTCTGGCACTATGCATGGTTAGTCTTCCAACGGTTACCCCTCTATCCCCTTTAGGAGCATCCTAAACGCTGAGAACATGTCTGAGGTAGTCCTGATTCTCCATGGCAGAGCCTGGTCCAAGTAAGGGGCTGGGGAATAATCAGGCCAACCAGACTCCACTGTGAGTAAAAACAGCCAATCACAACATCAAGCTGATGTCATCAGGTGCCAGGGAGACTCCCAGCAAGGGACTCAGGCGGCAAACCAGCGTTGCTCATAGGAGACAGCTTAGGCCAGTGATGGTGAACTTTTAGAGACTGAGTGCCCAAACTGCAACCAAAAACCCACTTATTTATCACAAAGTACCAACACTGCAATTAAACCTGAATACTGAGGTTTTAGTTTAGAAAAACTTACATACTCGACTCGCATGCCACCAGAGGGTGCTCTGCACAGGTTCACCACCACTAGCCTGCCTTATGCTGGGGAAGCAAAATCTTGGAGGTTTTCAAGAGGATCCACAAAAACTGAGGATATGGAGAAAGAGATAAAAATGACCTGCCCATAAAGGAACTAAGCAAATCAGGGTCCCCTAAAGGAAAATGAGAGCAGAGATGCAGTCTGGTGGCAAGAGCACAGGGCCTGAGCAGACTATTATCCTGGGCCATGGTTCAGCCACTCATCACTCGTGTGATCTTGGCACATGAGGCTCCTTTTCTCTAAATCTGACTTAATAATCCTAATTTACAGGACAATTCAAAGACAATTCAGTGCTTCTAATAATCAACAGAGCCTTCTTTTGTTTCCCAGCATATTAAAAAAAATAATCAACAGAGCCATCTGAGAGGCTCATAAAACTAAACAGATTTAAATCCACTGACGTGAGATCTCCAGTGTAAGGGCTTGGGAATCTTCTTTTTTTTTTTAAATCTGAACAATTCTGATAACACACCAAATTAGGGAAATAGCAAAACATTCTGTAGGGAACACTGGGACACACTGATCACACGAGGACAGAGGAAGAAAACCAGGACCTGGGTGACACTGCAGGGCAGGAAAACACAGTTCCATATATAGATGGTGAATTACAGCTTGTCGGCCAGGTGCTGAAGGCACCTGGAGCTTGGCCACCTCGAATGGCAAGAGCATGTCATGGGCACTAGGCCCAGTGACTCAGTGTGGAAAGATTCTGCGAACAGCACTGTGTTGAGAAGAACAACTCTGAGAGACACTGGAGGACTACTTTAGAAAGATGAGACTCTGTAAAAGGCAAACTATCTTTGTGGGGTCATATAAACGACTACAGTTTGGGAAGTCTTGGGGTCCTCATCATGAGGCTAACATTTGCCATTTCCTG